AGAACTGAGAACTACAAGAGGGAGTTGTGAACTGACCATCTTTCTATCAAAGATGATGTAGAATCTTATATGATAAGATAGTTCTGTCCTGGATATCTCAATTTAAAATTAACATGGGAAAACCTTCAATTATATATTTAATCTTTCATGGTTATGCTCATGGTAAGTTCTAATTTTGTTTTAGATTGGAGAAAATGAATATAATGGTCTTTTCCTTCAGCTCACTTCCCTGTGCTCCTTTAGTTGGTCTTCAAATGGCTGCTCTTCTTTTTTCTCCTTTTCTCCTTTCTGATTTTCATAGGACTTTGATAAAACAACCCCTCTATCCACTCTTTCTTACTGTGTGGAGAAATGCCAATAAAGTAGCAAGCCTGGATCTTCTCAAAGCTTTTCTTTTGAAATAGGGTGGAAATGTTTCAAATCTTTAATTTCCATCTGGAACCCTTTTTTAATCTTAAGGGATTAGGGATCTTTAAGTGTATACTTGCTGGATTAATGTGAGGGAGGAGGCACTCATGCTGCTTTATTTGAATGTTGTTTCAATAGTTGGCTCTTTATGTGTTTGAACCTCCCATTTGGGACCACTCTTAATCTGCTTAGAATTGGGATCTAACACTGGAAAGACTTGGAAAAGAAATTAAAATTTTTTGGGAAAGAACATAATTACCCATTTATTACCTCTCCCTTTTGGAAGTCCAGCATAATGTGGTAGAGACTGGAGAAGTTGGAACTTACCATCAGATAGTTTGAGTTCTAAGAAGGATGACATAGTTATTTGGGATTGTGTTTTCAAAGAAAAAAAGAGTAAAGTTTTAACATCAACAACTTCAAAGAAATCAATGGCAGCTTCCTTAGGAAAAAGGATATCAGAGAGAACCAACTAATGGGCTGTATTATAAAGAGGCCTTAGAGTCAATGCTGTTTGCCCTTGAATCTAAATTTGAGAGCTTCCTTCTCTGACCCTTCCATGACAGCCTCCTTAGGAAAAGGTATACTGGAGGGAACCAACTAATCTCTCGACTTCAACCATTTTAATGGGTTGCATTATAAAGAGGTCTTATAGTTAATGCCAGTGTCCCTTTAAATTAGAGATCTCCTTTCTCTGACCCTTCCCTTAAATCTTGCCTAAGCTATAGAGCAGTTCTGAAAGAGTGAAAGTTCTTCTGGTGGGTTCATTTCCTGTTTATATTCATTGTCTTTCTAGGCCTTGTTTCTCAAAAGATGTTATTATCTTGGATGCCCTTTTTTCTATTCTTTGCTTCTGATTCACCCTAGAAATTTAATTTCTCTTAAATTTTGCTTAAGCTAATAATTTGTGTAGAGCAGTTCTGAAAGTTCTTGTGGTGGGTGAATATTCATTTTCTGTCTATATTCATCGTCTTTGTAGTCTCTACTTCTCAAAAGATGTTATTATCTTGGATGTCCTTTCTCTATTATTTGCTTCTGATTCACCCTTAGAAATTCAATCTCTTAATCTTGAGGTTGACTGTTTGCAAAACTCTCTCTCTCTCTCTCTCTTTCTCTCTCTCTCTATATATATATATCCTCTTGTTTTTCTCTTTTTGTCTAGTATCAATCTCTTGGCTGCACAATGGAGTTTTTTTGTATTTTTGCATTGTTGTCCAAAATAATAACAAAACATGGAAAAAATGGTTTTGAAGGTTACAGTGATCCACAATTAACAATTTCTACTTATGTGTAATCACTCTCTTTGAGAAATTTCATAGCTTATGCAATTATGTCCTTATCTAGTTAGGCTGCTCTAGTTGCTTTTAAGTAAACTACATTATGATAGTGACCTTTATCTGAAAAAGATGCTTTGGATTTTAACTACGTAACTATAACTTAGCAGCTGCTGTTATTGTGGCCAAAAACGAGACATGGCGTAGAAGGGCAATTTGGAAGCGGGTGCAGGAGTTCTATGCTCTGACAGGAATCCCCATCACAAGTCCCATAATTTCTCTTATTGTTGGTAGTGAAGAAAAGGCTCTTCATGCCAGCAGGTTTCACCTCTCTCCCTCTCTCTCTCTCTCTCTCTCTCTCTCTATATATATATATATATATATATATATATATATATCTGCTGATTACCAATGCTCACCCTCTTCATCATCATGGAACAGGCATTTGCTAAGAGCTGGTTTCCATGTAACAGCAATCAGACCCCCCACAGTGCCTCCCAACTCATGCAGGTATTTTTACTGTTAGTTTTTGAAGTCCATGCCAACAATTAATCAATAACTAACAGAAAATGGGAATCAAGAAAAAAAGTTAGACTGATTCTTTAACAGCAATTATAACTCACTGACTAGGGCTTTTGACTTAGCATGGCAAGATGGCATTTTAGTCAACTCAAGAGTCATGGAGCTGACTTGGGGAAATATGTTACAATTTGAAATTTTATAAATTTAGCTTAGCTGACATTACATGCTATATTCATAGGGTCGGGAATCAGGATCTCCTGCCAAGAAAAATCCTTCCAACATGATCTGTGTCCACACATCACATGCATGATGGGTCCCACTCATTGATGTGCGGACACTGATCATGTTGGAACGTGTTGGGAGGTATTTTTATTGGCAGGAGATCCAGATTCATATTCATAGTAAGTTTTCTTCACTGTCATAATAAGAAATTATAAATTTATAACTTCAGATGGATTGTGTACTAGTAGGGTAAAACCTCCAATATAAGGTATGGTGTAAATATAAAGTGGGTATGGGAAGTTACAAGCGGTCCAGAGGATCCCTTATTTCAGATTGGCCACAGGATTCTTCCATTGTGCAAGAAAAAAATAGATGGGCTTCTCTATTGAGGTTTATTTATTTTGGTAAATAGAGGTTTCTAATTGACCTGATTGTGCAAGTTTAAATAGTGACATGGGTCATGACTAGGAAATAAAAATGATAAGGAGTGAAGTCAACTAGGGGAGTAGGCAAAATATGACAACAGAGCTTATTTTTATGAATGAGTACTGGCTCAAACTGCCAAGCCTGATTCATCTTTATCTGGTGATTCTGGTTCAGTATTTTGTATTATTGTTAGGAGTTGGGTGTTGTATTACTAATTCAAACCAGCCAAAGTCTTGATTAGAGGCATTTTATCTTGCATAACATTTTAAGAGTACTTATCTTGCATAACCTTTTAAGAGTGTTAATAAAGTTCAAATATTTCAGGCTACGGATAACCCTGAGTGCAGTACACACCATAGATGATTTGAAGAAGCTTGCAGCAGCTCTTTCCCTTTGCATCAACTTCCCAGACATTGATAAGAATTCGATTACATATTCAAAGCTCTAAGGTTTTGATGTTTGGAGTTTGATTTACAAACTCCACGGAACAGGATTGACTCACGAAACTGACATTGATAATTAGCTTTACTGGGTTAAACTTGTGGTTGAACTTGTAGTAGTATGAGAAATAAAACTTCCCCAAAACAGGTTGATCGACTTGCTTAGACGACCACTGCTCCCTTATCCCAACTGTATGATATGGGGGCTCATTCATAGTTCAGACAGAGAAAGACCTTGAATTCTGATGTTACAGACATTTGCAGTCGATCGAGAAAATGCAACAAAATTATAAAATTGCAAACGGAAGCGCAATACCTTTCAAATAAGATTAATTCTCTTTATAACTGAATTTATTGAAAGAAATTTATTCCATCAAAGCATTTACTGCTCTTCCAATGATCCAAAGACTACTCTCAAAAAATTTCAATCTGATTTTCCATAAACTTATCTATAATATGGTTCCACCAGTCCATAAAAGTCTAATCATTTTTGATTGCCATACATATGCACTCACTGCTCGGCACTATCTGGTACCAACACTATAGACCCAGATGTTTTCCGATTCTCAACATCTGCATGAGCCTGTGCAGCCTGTGACAAAGGGTATACATGGTTGATGCGGACTCGTAGGATACCTGATGCAACGTTAGTGAATACCTCCCCAGCAGCTTCCAACAGTTCATCCGGAGTTTCAGTGTACTGGATGAGTGAAGGCCTTGTCAGGAACAAAGACTTAACGGCGAGTGCTGACAATGGAACTGGATCTGGAGTGCCAGACGACTGCCCAAAGCTCACCATGTACCCACGAGTCTTTAAACACGCCAATGATCCCTGCATAGAACAACTTTTGACGTAAGTGATTAAGTTTTCAGTAATTAAGAATAGTACCTCAGAGATGGCCAAGAAAGACATAGCTTTAGAGTATTTATAATGCTGTTATACATGGCATTTAAAACGAGTCTATGCAAAATGCATATAGAGAAGCTTGGGTCATACACCCTTTTTAACTTTCTTACATTCTTCATCAATGTATCACGAAGAGAAATTATTGAATTATGAAAAAAAAAGATAGTGACCCCCATCCCCCCGTCTCTTGCCCATGGTTTTTAAAACTAACCCAAGACCGAACCAGTCAGGGGTCCGGTTACCGGGCCGAATGGTTAACTGCCCAGGTCAATGGTTTTTGTGAAAAATCCGGTTTTGGGAATAACTGGAATAACCGAAACCAGTCCCTGGTTTTTCCAGTCCGACCGTCCGGTCAGGTCCAGTTTTGAAAACCATGCTCTTGCCTAAGGCATCTGTGAGTCTGCTGACCTTGGTACCCAAATGGACAAGCGGTGCTTAAGCTAATTGTCAAGGATCTGACCTCTATTACAAGGTGAGTAAGTGATGGGCTAAGAGCTCCTGATGACATCCATCCACTTTTTGATGATCTTTTTAGTGATTCTTCCTATATCTACTTGTGATGAGAAAAGGAAAGTATACCTGAAATGTATCTTTGCCTACAGAGTCATAGACGACATCAACTCCTTTGCCTGATGTTATTTGGTTGACTATGGAAACAAAATCATCCTGTGTATAAATTATGACATGGTGGCATCCATCTTCCTTGGCTTGAGCTGCCTTCTCTTCAGTTGACACGGTTCCAATCACGATTGCTCCTGAGCATTTGCCCACTGGCACAACATAGAGCCAACTCCTCCAGCTGCTGCATGAACAAGGATTGTGTCAACGTTCGACCTGCATTACTAGAAAAAGTTGGTCATATCCTCAAGAAGATGCCAAAACAGAAGAATCTATAAGAGCATCCACAAACTATGCCAATCAAAAATTTAAGCCATACTTTGACCCTAAAGCATGGAATCAATGACCCATTATGATTAGGTAAAAATTATGCAATTGGTGAATCTAAAAAACAACCTTGAAGCAACGGCGGAGCAAAAAATGAGCAGTCATCCCCTTAAGCATAACAGAGGCAGCAACTTTAGGCTCTATAGAAGGTGGGACTGACACTGTAACTTGAGCAGGGAGTATCTGTTCTTCAGTGTAAGAGCCCATCTTCTTACCCCCATAGGCAACTAGATCCCCGACTTTTCTGCCTGTCAATCCAGGGCCCACATCAGTCACTACTCCAACTGCCTCCATTCCTATAACAAGGAACTTGAACAAGTTAAGGTCTGGACATTATTCAAACCAAATTCTCACACTTTGTCAGCCCAAGGTTTAACATTGCACTGCACCAAGTAATGGTCCCTAAATCTTTAGAGAAAATTGAAATCAAATTAAACAACAAAAGGTATTCCTAGGAGGGGATCATTCTCAGATCCATTATGGACAGATTTCTTTTGCCAATAGCAAAGGGAAGAAAAAGTTAAGGGCAGGGTCTGGGGAGGGACAGAATGCAGCCTTACCCCTTCAAATACACAGAGAGGTTGTTTCTAAGTATTGAGCCCTGGTCACCTAGGTCACAGTGGAGCAGCCCAACCATTGTGCCAAGGCCCACCCTCAAAGGGAAGGAAAGGTTACTGTGTTGCAAATAACAATGAATAACCCATGTCACTCAAGTCAACAAGATGGCCGATTCCTTAGTTGGATACAAACACCATACTTTCTTATAATAACAAATAGCACATATACTTCATCCTTCACAAGAAATCATCCAAATCACTATTTTCAGAACTTCCAGTATATGAACCATCTTAACCTGCTACCTCCTTTGACTTACATTTTCCAGAAATGTCCTTGTTCCCATACCATGTTATGCTCCATGAGGACCGTACATGACACTTGGTCCTATAAACGTGGCAGATGACTAACTCTTGAGCTAAACCTTCCGAATGGAAAATTGACGATATAACAGGTTAGAAAATAAAATTTATTCAGGGACCTCGCCTAAAGGATTCCTTAACATGATATCAAAGCTTGTTTGACCAAATGGTCTAATGTTCAATCCTCATTATTCCCATTATATTTTATTAAATTCTAGCACAAGGTGTGGGTGGGCCTGTGTTTTTCCACGCTACAACCCCAATGAACTTTCACGTGAGGGAGATGTTAGAGAATAAAAACCCACCTAACAGCCTAAACTTTTAGGTTAAATGGTTCCTTGACATTTGATAAGTAACAAATATTGTTACGTCATCTGTTGTAGGTTCAACATTTAAATAAATCCCATGCTTCAAATAAACATCTCCTTGAAAAAGTCAAAATTGGTTTTTCAAGATACTCATGCAATTCAATTAGTTGGATCTGTATATGAACATCTTGAGTCAAATGTTATTCAGATGTAAGGCGGTGGTAACAGTGGTCTTGGCTCTGAAGTTGAGAAGAAGGAAAGGAGAGGGGATTGGGTTTCTAAACTTGGGAAGGCTAAGGGAAAGAATGAATGAAGGGGATCCCCTCCTTCAAAGAAGGGGTCTTTAGTTATAGGTGAAGGGGGATACCTATACATGCATGGAATGAAGAATTACGGAACTTTCCTAGGGCGGTGAAACTCAAATCCCAGGTTGATTCGATAGGGACATGCATGGGATTGCAGAATGGAGACCAACTGCCAACCTATGCAGGTTGTCATTATCATTCTATGATTTTACCACGTGTCATGTGAAGCTTTTGCAAAGCACGCATTCTGTACGGGCCAGGATCCCAACTGTCTGCCAATCACAATTGTGATCAGCCATGGTTGGTGACCCGGCAATCACTATAATGCTGCAGTAATTAACTGTGTTTCTCTTAGGCTGCATTTGAAAATGATGCAAATGTGTGAATGCAAATATGTAAAGTGTAAAATCGGTTCATATAAATTACAAAGTTGGGTTAGCTTTACACTGACAATTTTACCTTCTTACCAAACAGACTTTTATCTATAATGGATGCAAACATGAATTTCAATAAAGCATATACATTTTTTTTTATCCAAAGTCCACTTGAATGCAAATTTACTTCCTTTTTATTGAATTACTTTTACATCTTATTATCAATGTAAATATGCACTGGTCTGTCATTTGTCAATGCATAAATGTAATGTTGCCAAACACAGACAAAAGTAAACCAGAATGTAAATCTACCCTAAACCGAGATTTATACTCCATTTGCATCGTTTCCAAACGCAGCCTTAGAGGCAGAAGTATACATGTGCATCCGTGGTTCAGACTTTCACGTTACCATGTTGATATGCGAGTCCATACTCTTACACCACATACAACAAGCATCATCCTAAACAATAATCACCCTTGTCATCCTTGTATCATTGGGTCTTGGATACTCATAGTTTTTCTTTTAGTTAAGATGAAGTTGATATACTGTCCTTGACAGTGCATTGAAGCTGCAAAGCAAGTTGATGCAGTATCGGCATTCTTTTTCTATTTTCTTCCACAAGGTAAGATGGAATCCAGTCATGCTCCTGAAGTGATAGTGGTTTATCTACAAATTCAATCCCAAGGGGGCAGGTTGTTACCTTCTATGGCCTCCCACTCTCGTTGAATCCCCTCTTGAACACATGATTATGTCCACAGTAGAGGGTTGAATTTGATTGGGTTATCTTAGCCTTAAAATTGAACACAAAATCTAAACCAAACCAAACTTTTCTTTTATCATCAAGAAAAATAGAGAATTTTGTTGATGGTTAATAATAAAAAACAGTACGTGACTAAAAAGGCCCTCTCACTTTCTTGGTATGAAATTGTTTAGATAAAGCAGTTTCACTCCTTAACTGTTAGAATGGCACAATGGATAATGTAATCTGTACGTGTACAGAAAGAAACAAAACAGATAGCAAGAAAGCGAAAAAAAGAAAAAAAGAAGAGAAAACATAAGATTTAATGTGGTTCGGCCAAATTGCCTATGTCCACAGGCAGCAGTTTGGAGCATTGCTTCTTCACTATAAGCAGAAGAAAATACAAAAATGGCCTCACTAGAATCACACCCGTACCCAACACTACACTCCTCTCAACACACTGTATATAGTATACAATGAAATGAAATGGAATGGATGAAAACAACAGAGGAGGGAACCCTATTTATATCTGTAGAGAGGGGTATAATGGATATTTTGAAAAATAAGTCTTCACCGCTAAGAAAACTTAAACGGTGGTCATCACTCGGTGTGCCACCGATTTAATATGGTGGGCTCAGTCGGTGGGCCACTGTTTGCTAATTCGGTGAACCACCAATTGACCCACTAAATGTACTTTAACATTCTCCTGCTTGAATACTATTTTCATAGTGGAAAAACCACTCGAGAATAGCCGCCGATCATCTTTTGTTAAGTGGCTTCAAGTCCTAGAGAAGTTCTGCACCAGATAAACTTCTCTCTCATCACAGGCTTTGTTAACATATTAGCAACATTATCGTTGGTGTGAATCTTTTGTGACCAGATCTGCCCATCCTCAACTATTTCACGAACAAAATGGTACTGTACATCTATGTGAGCAAGAGGTGGTGACTATTCATTGTGACAATCAAAGCACATTACACTTGGCATGAAATCCTATCTTTCATGTTTGGACCAAACACATTGATGTACGGTACCACTTTGTTCGTGAAGTAGTTGAGGATGGGCAGATCTCGTTACAAAAGATTCACACCAATGATAACGTTGCTGATAATGTTAACAAACCCTGTGATGAGAGAGAAGTTTATCCAGTGCAGAATTTCTCTATGACTTGAAGCCACTTAACAAAAGATGATCGACAGCTATTCTCGAGAGGGTTTTTCACTATGAAAATAGTCTTCAAGTGGGAGAATGTTAAAGTACATTCAGTGGGTCAATTGGTGGCCCACCGAATTAGCAAACAGTGGCCCACCGACTGAGCCCACCATATTAAATTGGTGGCACACCGAGTGAAGACCATCATTTAAGTTTTCTTAGCGGTGAAGACTTATTTTTCAAAATACCCATTATACCCCTCTCTACAGATATAAATAGGGGTCTCCTCCTTTGTTGTTTTCATCCATTCTATTTCATTTCATTGTATACTATATACAGTGTGTTGAGAGGAGTGTAGCGTTGGGTACGGGTGTGATTCTGGTGAGGTAATTTTTGTATTTTCTCCTGTTTATAGTGAAGAAGCAAAGTTCCGAGCTGCTGCCCGTGGACGTAGGAAATTTGGCTGAACCATGTTAAATCTAGTGTTCTCTCTTATTTCTTTCATATCAAGAGACTCTTTTCTTTTCCTTCTAAGGCAATTGCACAATCTTCTTTTACCAACACAACATGCATCTTCAGCTTCCAGATTGCATAGTTGGATTCGTTGAATTTTGGTATATCGAACCGGGTAGAGCTCGAACTTGCCATCTTCAACACATGCAATACCAGAACAGCAAATACAAATTTTGGTAGAATTCCAAAATAGAACTATGAAGCTCTGATACCAATTGTTGGAATGACACAACGGATAATGTAATCTGTATGTGCACAGAAAGAAACAAAGCAGATAACAAGAAGGTGAAAGAAAGAAAGAAGAGAGGACACCAAATTTAACGTGGTTTGACCAAATTGCCTACGTCCATAGGTAACAACTTGGAACTTTGTTTCTTCACTATTTAGAAAATAAAAAAATGACTAGAATCACACCCATACCTAACACATACAATGAAATGGAATGGAATGGATGAAAACAACAGACGGAACCCCTATGGGTATAATAGGTATTTTAAAAAGTAAGTCTTCACCACTAAAAAAACTTAAACGGTGGTCTTCACTCGATGTGCCACCAATTTAATAGGGTGGGTTTAGTCGGTGGGCCACCGAGGTGGCCGATTGGCCCACCAAATGTACTTTAACACTAACAACATAGAAGAACCAGAAACAAACCTGGGATGAAGGGCAATGTAGCAGGTTTATAAACCCCTTTGCGGAAATACACATCAATGAAGTTGAACCCGATCGCAATGTTTTTGACACGGATCTCATCCTCTTTTGGTTCTCCTATCTCCACATCCTCCCACTTGAGGACCTAAGTAGCCAAACCGAGATCATTCTCAGAATCCATAAAAGATCAATACAGGTTAGACCTGATTGAATTAGACTTCCATAAATTGGCAATCAAAGGAAATGGATTAGATTCACAAAAAGCCAGAAACATTTCCAACGGAACTTAAAGGCGGTTCCAAAGAATGCAACTGAAGCTACTCTCAATTGGGACTACCAGGTATCAAATTAGTATATGGGTTAACCAGCAATCAGAAATCTTCAATCGTTGATATTTCCCATTGGGCTTCATGAAATAAAAAAGACCTTAAAAATGTGCAAGCTATCATGCGAAAACCCCAACTTCCCAAAAAAGCTTCTGCCTTGAGAAAAATGCATGGAATCTAACAATAAAATAACTAAACTGAAGCAGGCTGGTTTCTACCGGAATAAAGGTTGCATGAAGCTAAAATACATGCAGAGAGAGAGAGAAAGAACCTCTGGTCCACCATGCTCATAAACTCTGATTGCTTTCACCATGTTTGCTGCTTGAATTGCAAGTGCTCCAGCTACTAGCCTAGTGGAGGTCTGTCTGACTAGAGAATGGGTTTCAGATGAGAGGTGACTGTGATGGATTTGGGCTTGTGTAGATTTCTTCATTTTTTGTTTTTTGTTTTTTGTCTGGCCACTGGCCTTAACAGATGGCCCTCAATCTCATAACACTTGTCATTGATTTAGAACACGTGGGTGTCTTGCTGAAATGACTCCACTCTTCTGTCACTTTCCATTTTTCTCAAGCGCATGTGCATCTTATACCACACATTTGGAACATTGCATGGATGACCACTTGTAAGCTGAAAATGGATGTAGGCAGTGCAATGAATTAAATCAAATGGTTTGATTAACCGTTGAAATCGTCTTCTCACAGGATTTTTCAGTACAATGGGTTCTGAATTAAATTTCAAGGATCTGTTTGCTTTTTGGATTTTAAGAAAGTGAAATTTATCCATTTTAATAATAGTTTTTATGGTTAAAATGTTTATTGTCTTATTTACCTAGGAAAGGAAATACTTGTCCAAGTATATGTATTTATTCAGATAAATAACTTTTCTAAAATCAAACCAAATAACGCCCAAAGACAAACCTCCAGTATCGCATCATATCGGTGGATATGGTACGATATTCATCAATATGGAAGCCTAGTTTGATGAAATTATATATTAATTGATTTTGGATTATTTTTCAACTTCAATAAAAATTGAACATTATAATTATAAAAACTGAAATAAATAATTTAAAATTTTATTTTCTCTAAAAATTTAATAAGAATTAAAAATTACAAAAATTTGTATATTTTATCTACCTTAAATGATTTATATGTTTTATTTTATAGATAATTATATGTTAAAAATGAAAATATATTTATTAATAGAAAATAGAAATTATAATTATAAAAACTGAAATGAAAATTTTAAGACTTAATTTCCCCCAATAATTTAATAAAATTTGAAAATTATATATGCTTTATTATTCAATTATATAAAAAATAAAATAATTATATTTTTAAAATAAAAACATATTATTTAAAAAATAAAATCATTATTTATATAAAAATACTAAATAAATACATTTTTTTATGATGTATACATATTCTAAAGTCCCGGTATTATTGATTAGAATGTTTTTCTTCATATAACCTATTAAAGTGTGCATTTCTTATGTTGTTATACTTTATCCATAGATAATTAAATTATAGATTTAGTGTTATTAATGTATTCATGTGATTTATATGCATTTCCCAAGTGTATCCGTATCTGAATTCTGAACTGTCCAATACGATACCCAATACTGATATTTTGATCTTTATGTCGCACAATCTCGCAATATGGATCATCAAATTGCATCATATATACGGTAAAAGGCATGTGTTTATATATCAGATGAAATGATAAAAGATAATACTGTACTAACTACTAAGTAGTAATATGACACTCGTCTGTAACTATAACACATGAAGCACAAATAAAAGGGACAATCTTTCATTTGGAACAGTCAATTATAGAAATTCTCCAACAATAAGAATCTGTTACAGATAAACTGATAGATGATTCTCTATAAACTTCTGTCCAGAATTTACACATACTCGAACCCCAGTTTGAAGGATCACCCCTATAGCTTTATTAGTTTCATTTATAATATAAGTTAAAATGAAAATATCCGAATGTCTGGTTTGACCATGTAGTAAATACATTCAAAGACGTGCTGCCCGGAGCCGTTGCTTCAGCATTGGCCTAATGTACTCATGGTATCCATCAGGAACAACTGAGTCATTGAGTGGATCTTTCCATGCCTCTTCATACAGTTTTGGATACACATTTCCATCATAGCGACCAAGAACAGAGCCAAGGTAATGGTCAGTGTAGTTAAAAGCATCAACCAAGGCAATGGCATTAGGACGAACCTATTATCAGTATACCATCAAAATGCATTCTGGTTAGAGAAGCAAAAACTACTTAGATGGCACGAAGTGATTCAACCAGAATTGATTCTGTATTTGGTACAAACCTGTGAGTATAGGGATCTGAGCTGATCATTGGCAAGTGATCCTTGCTTGGGGGTGATACACCCTGTTGATAAGAAGTCACCCAGATGTTTGTGAAGCAGGTAAAGGGCATAAATGTAACAGAGCGCCTCTAGCTGTTCTTTCACCCCCTTCCCTGGAATTTCTTGTTGCAACTTTTCAAGGAACCTGACCAATAAAATGATACACAAGTAGGACCTAGCTGTTACTTGCTATCCTTTATGGCAACAAATTTCTAAGATTGAGAGAAACTAATATTGCTCCTGCAATTAATTTCTTAGGGCCCTTCCAGAAGATTCTAGATTTCTCATGCTCCCAAAATTAATTCCCCAAAGTGAGAGAATGGTTATCTTTTGATCTTTTTATAAACATATTGATCAACTGAGATAGAGGAAGAACAAACTTACTTGGAAACAACAATTAATTGGCAGTGAGCAATGGCTGCTTCCACGAGATTGGCAGAGAGCTCTGCAAAGCCTGAATGAAAAGAGATGTTAAGCCGATACATATTCATTTCTCCAAACTCATATTAAAACAGGGGACTGGAAGAAGCATTTTCCTAACTGATCTAATAACACGATATATGAAAAGTGATCCCAAGGCATGTAGGTACAACAGAAAATTCACTCAACTGGATGAGTCTAAAGCCTAACCATCCAGATAACTGAATTCTTTTAGATCGTTAGAAACACTTAAAGAGTTTCCATGGAAAAGAACACCTTCACGTCTTCTTTATTTTCTTGTGTTTTTAATTTTTAATTTCTTTCTGGTGACATATTATATAGCCAATCTGGCCCAGGAAATCTTGGGGGTTTCATCTAATGGATGTATCTTGCACATGTGCCACATCAAACAAACAAGACAGTAGGGAAGATGTTTTCTTTCATTCCAAGTATTCCATCATCCTGAAAAAGAAAGAACTGGAACATTTGATAGGCATTTTTATAAAATATATAGTGGATACCTTCTTCTGGACTCGAAAACTTGCTGAGATTTTGAGCACAGGCAACAGACATCCGAGCAGCTCTTGCCTCAAAAGTCTCTAATATTACATTAGGCTTCAACCAATCCTCAGCTGCAAAATAATATTAAAATGGTTAACCTCAATGTCTCACATAGCCCAACACCTATGATACCCAGATGCTTGTGCAAGGGTGCTGTAATGTCAGACAATTCAGCCAAAGGAATTTCAAGAATTCACAATGATGCAAGATATCAGTCAGCCAGTGTCAGATACATGATCACAAACATGATTGCTGAGAGTGCGTCCACTATACTGATAGCTCTAATTAGAATATGATACTGTGAAATGATTAAGAAAACAACTACACCAGTGTAAACTTGTTTTACACCATCAGTCCCAAGCCTGGATAAAAGAGGAGAGTTGCATCAGGTTGGCAGCCAGCATTAAAACTTCTGCCAAGCACTTGATCATGGATCCTGATTTGAACAGAATTCATGTAGCTGACCCCATGTAATTGGGATAAGGCTTGGATGATGATGATGAAATGATTAATAAAACCTAAGAGCCATTAATTGAAGCATTTTCAGATCATAATTTCCATTTAAAAAATGCAGTGATTTTTTTCATTTATTAGGCAGGCAATGATTATAGACTGATTAAGATTACATGATAATTAATTTTATGCAATAGAAGAAACAATATTAAGTTAATCCACGAATGGAGATGAATGGTGTATCCTTGGTGAGAAAATTTACTGATTATTCACCAATACAATAATCTCTATGGTTCAATCTCAAGCCAGATCATGTAGAACTCCATAAACAACCACAAACAGAACCTGAGTGGAAAGTTGGGTATGCCCAAAAAGTATAATTTTGGATAGCAATGATTGGCAAGCTATCACCTTCCAAAAAGTATAATTTTGATAACGAGTGTGGTAAGTTTACTTTACTCACGCTTTTGGGGTTCTCTAAACTTGGATAGATTGGTTTCGCAGTTCATAGGCTGACACAATTAGTTTCCATGGATGGATGGACACTACCAGAACATTTTGATTTCAATAAGATCCTCGAATGGCGATGATTACAGTCTGTTTCGCTGGTGAAGGGTCTCTTTTCTGAAGTTATTGATGGAGCGCAGATTCTCTTATAATAGAGCAAGTGGGGGGAAGTGAAGATGGGAAGCTTCTGCCTGGTACCGTAGATTGGAGAATGAAGGGAGGGTAAGATGCAATCTTTCTTACAGAGAAGTGGTGGCGGCGGGGGTTTGGCCTACTTTTGGGGAGTCAGAGGTGAAATGGATTAATGGTAATAGGGTGGTAGCAACGGATCCTCAGGGGGTGACTGCGAGAAGAGAGTTTTTGAGGAACTGTTTGGTGGGTAGGTTCCGATGGGGGTGGAGATTAAGGAGGTAGAGAGGTGGGCAAATGGCGTTTGGAGAGAGGTGGGGGGTGTGAGAGTGAAGAAAATGGCGGATGGTCTATTCCACTTTATTTGTCCGTCAAGAGCTGGTGCGGATTGGGTTTTAAGACAAGGTCCATGGCAGATGGGAAGAAACCCCCTTTTGCTGGACTGGTGGGGGGCGAGTGCGGGATGCCATTACCCTGATCCCTTTGAAGTAGGAGAGGACCTGGAGTCATGCTGGATTAGGGTTTACGGCCTGCCACTCCTGCTCTGGTGCCCAAGTGTCATAAGGGCTATTGGGGATGCTTGTGGGGGTTTTATAGAGACAGACGATTCCCAACTGGAGATTGCGACCTGCGAGTGGGTAAGAATGAAAATCCGCGGGGGAAACCAAATTCCAAGCAAGGTTGAAGTGGTCTTCACGGTTCAGATCTGGCAAGAAGTTCTGCCGTTTGTTCGAAGTTGGAGAGGTGGAGAAGGGCTGTCTCGCGATGTCCTTAAAGAAGACAAGGAGAGTTTGAACTGCTCCAAAACGTTAATCCTGGAAGATTTTGGCGAAAGTGAGCTTCCCAGTTTTTCAGTAGCAGAGAGGTATCAGAAGACAGAGACGCGAGTTGCTTCTCCGGTGACCGTAGATAGAGAAGAAGATGCAGGTTTGGGGGTTCTTTTGAGCCATCCGATGTTGGTGACTTCGAACGGTACAGATGGGTTTACCCAGGATCCAGCTGTGAAGGAGATTCAAAATTCAAATCTGAGGGGCAGCGGGCAGGTTTGGGGTACTGAGGCCATTAAAGCCTTAATTAGAGAATTCCTTGCAGAGCTCCAGCTGGCCCCTAGGGAAGTTAGTGCGCCAGAGAATTGTCAGAAGGGCTGTCAGCCTCCCCCACTCGAGTCTCAGTGGGCCCATGGGACTTTGGATGAAGTTAATGGGCCTGGAATGGCTTTATTCAGCCCAACCGACTCTTCAACCTTTGTTCGAAGGACGAAACTGATGCCAGATTTCAGTCCTCGGCTTGGCGGTGGTCTTCAGGGTGTGGGTTCAGGGGAGGCTCGGGATTCTCAGGAACGAAGGGGGACTGCTGCTGGTACGGAGAAGAAGGGCGGAGAGGGAGCTTCAGATCCCGGCGCTGGGGTTGTGAAATCTTGGCCTTCCCAAGCGTTTGCTCTGGTAGGCGAGACTCAGCTAAAGTCCAACCAACTAGTGGTGCTAAGAGAGGAAGAGGAGTTGATGGAGGTGGATCCAATAGCGATGGTGGCTGCAGATCCTCAAATTGCAAGTGGTGAAGGTATTCTTGAGGGTGTTGGGCCACAGGTGGGAGGTAACAAACTGTGTTACGGATAGGTTTGCTGTCACAGTTGAGCAGTCTCAGAAGAATAACAATCTGTTAGTGGATCAGTCGAGCCAGGTAGGGGAGCAGTTTGAAAGTGTTTCTGATTTGTCATGGGTTTCTTCTAAGTTGATGGGATTGGGAAAGTTTCTGAGGATCTCGCTAGAAGGCTTGGAAGAGGAAACAATTAAGTGCTTGGAGGGGGTAGAGAAAAGAATGAGTATGGCCAGGGGGAAAGCTGTAGTAAAGAAGGGGAGCAACAAATCTAAAAGAAGTAGAGAATTGCTACGCTTGACTTGGAACCTTAATGATAAAGTTGGTAGGAGTGAGGGGAGGGGGGAGAAAGGCTTAAGTGCCAAGTGTTCTGTTGTTCCTAGTTTGTTATGGAGCTTAAGATCTTATCTTGGAATGTTAGGGGGCTGGGGTCGGGGAGAAGGAAGCTGGTAGCTTGTGACTCTTCGAAAAGTTCAGGTTCAAAAGTGGTATTGATTCAAGAAACTAAATTGGAATATGTGGAGGTCGGAGTGGTTAGAAGTATCTGGGGGGAGGGGTGAGGTTAGGTGGAGGTCGAAGTCAGCAGCTGGTAGTGCAGGGGGGTTACTGAGTATGTGTGACCCGACTGTTTGCAGCTTGATCTCTCATCAGATTGGACTTTTTTCAATTTCTCTTGTCTTGAAACTTGCAAATGGCAATGTGTGTCAGGTTACTAATGTGTATGGTCCTAATGACCGAAGTCAGAGGGAGGAGTTTTGGGAGGAGCTCGTAGTGGCTAGGGGAAGTCTGGATTGCCCGTGGGTTATTGGTGAGGACTTTAATGTCACTCTTTCTGGGGAGGAGAGAAGCTCGGGGGGAAGAAGATCTAGGGATATGGTGCAATTTGCTGATTTTATCAACAGATTTGAGTTTCAAGATTTACCCCTTCATGGCAATAGGTATACTTGGACCAACAAACAAGACCTTCCTACCCTAGTGAGGCTGGATAGGTTTCTGGTTACTTCTAACTGGGAGGATATTTTTCCAGAGTTTAAATTAGAGAATGCTTGGTTTGAAGATGACTCTCTTGTTGAAGTCTGTTTGGGAGGATTTGCAGGTGGGAGGTACCAGTTCATTCATCTTAGCAAAGAAATTGGGAGCCATTAAAGCAAAGCTAAAGATTTGGAAAGTGGAGAAAAGTTTGAATCTAGATACTGAGAAGAAAGCTCTATTGAGTACCATAAAGGAGATTGACACAGCTGAAGAATTAGGTCCTATTGCTGAGGAGCTCAGATTAAAAAGATTTCAGGCTAAGTTGAAGTTTGACAAATTGGCAATGGCAGAAGAAATTAAATGGAGACAAAGAGCAAAGTGGTGTGGCTGAAAGAGGGGGATAGGAATACACATTATTTTCACAAAATGGCAAATGCCAAAGCTAGAGCTTCTGTAATTACCAGGCTGGAGGGAGAGGGCAGGGTAGGTATCACTGAGTCTGATATGAAGCTAGTGGCAACTAGCTTTTACAAGAAGTTGTATAAGGAATCTTGGGCATTCAGACCTTTTCCAAGATCCCTTTCTTTTAACTAGTTGAGTGATGAGCAATCTTCTTTCATTGAGAGACCTTTTTCTGAGGAGGAAATTAAAGAAGCTATCAAGTTGTTGGCTGATGAAAAGTCTCCAGGGCCCGATGGTCTTACAAATCTCTTTTACATTAAATGCTAGGACGTGGTGAGACAGGATATATTGAATGTTTTCCAGGACTTTTTTGAGTCGGGTTCATTGCAGAGAAGTCTGAACACTACCTTTATAACCCTCATTCCAAAGATTGAAGGTGCTGTGAATATTAAGGAGTTTAGGCCAATTAGTCTGTTGCATAGCTTCTATAAAATCCTATCTAAAGTCCTTGCAGAAAGATTGAAAGCAGTTCTTGGTAGGGTTATCTCAAATAACCAAAGTGCTTTTATTCCGGGTAGACAGATGCTAGATTCAGCTCTTATTGCCAATGAGCTCATACATTCCAGGAAAAAAGAAGATTCTCCAGGTTTGATTTGTAAACTTGCTATTGAAAAGGCCTTCAATCATGTTAACTGGAGATGTGTAGACCTTGTGCTTCTTCAGATGTATTTTGGGCAGAAATGGAGGAATTGGATGAAAGTATGTGTCACTTCCCCAAAGTTCTCAGTCTTGGTAAACGGATAGTCTGCAGGCTTCTTTGATAGTTCCAAGGGTCTTAGGCAGGGAGACCCTCTATCTCCTCTGTTATTTATATGTGTAATGGAGATCCTCACTCTTTTCTGCAAGAAGGCTGCTGAGTCGGGGGATTGGGAAGGTTTTGCAATGGTGCCAGGGGGAGAGAAGGTGAACATTCTTCAATTTGCAGATGATACAGTATGTTTTGTGGATGCTTCCCCCTCTCAGGTGGAGCTAATTCTTGGGATTCTCTCTTGGTTTGAAGTGATTACAGGCTTGAAAGTTAATTGGAATAAGAGCCAAATTATCCCAGTTGGACTTGTTTCCAATTTAGCTGAGTGTGTTGGTATTCTGGCTTGTCAGATTGAATCTCTCCCGGTCAAATATTTGGGACTCCCGCTTGGGGTGAGTGGTGGTTCCTCTGCTATTTGGGACCCGGTTATTGAGAGATTGGAAAGGAAGTTGGCTTCTTGGAAGGCTAAATACCTTTCTTTTGGGGGGAGGGTGACTCTGATTAAGAGTACTCTCTCCAATTTACCTACCTACTTCCTATCTCTTTTCTCTATTCCTAAGAAGGTGGCAAATCATATTGAAAAGCTTCAACGGAATTTCCTTTGGAGAGGCTGGGAGGAGGAGAAAAAAGTGCACTTGGTGAGTTGGTAACAAGTCTGTCTTCCCAAATCTGAAGGGGGGTTAGGTATAAGGAAACTGAAATATTTTAACTCTGCTCTCCTATGTAAATGGATTTGGAGATTTGCTGTAGAATCTAATGCTTGGTGGAGATCTCTCATAGCTAGAAAATATGGTGTGAGCTGGGGAAATTGGAGATCTAGGGACCCCCCTCCTAACTGGGGTAACTCTCTGTGGAAGGGGATAAAGAAGCATTTCCCAGAGTTGGCCAGGGGGATCTCAGTCAGGGCTGGTAATGGTAATAGGATCAAATTCTGGAAGGCTTGGTGCTCAGATGTTCCTCTTGCTGAATCCTTCCCTCTCATCTTCCAGTGTGCTTCAGACCAAGAGGCCTCAGTTGCTGAGTGCTATAGTATTTCTGGTGATTCTGTTCTTTGGACTCCCTCTTTCCGTAGAAATCTCTTTGATTGAGAGGTGGATGAGGCAGTGAATCTTTTGACCTGTCTACAGCATCAAGAGATGGACTTTAG